TCCCAGACTGAAAGTGCCCGGAAACTCTTGATATGAATAAACTTCTATTGCTTTATCTTGGAACCGGATTATCAACCCAGGTAGATTTGTCTAACATCCTCGCTGGACAGAGAACAGGAAAATGCTCAACCTGTTATTCATCTCCACATAGGCCCTTAGAATTTTGTCGCCCAGAATTCTGGATAGACGAAACTTGTACACTTAGATTATCCCACCCACGCACGCACGCAACATCTGTGGATGTGACTGTCACACTACGGAATTTACCGTTCCAGCAAGTTCCTGGCTTCATGTACTAAACTCTTTCCAGAACCCGGTTCACACACCTTCCCAGTCTTTTGAACGGGAGTAGATGTTTTCACCTTATTTCATGTTTAGCATTGGGTTTCCGGTTCCTTCTAAAGTCTACTGCATCTATACACTTCTAACGTCTCCTCAATAGGAGTAGATAGATTTGCCTATCGTCCAGTTCACACACTGTTGTGGTACGATCCACCTAATTTACATAGTGGAGTACCGACCATATAAATATGGGTTGGTACCGGGAAGACGATGAAGGAAGTAACAAGAGATCCAATCCAGAGACTCTGCCCGACTGCGATTACGTCAACCCATTCTACAAGAACAGTCTTCCCAAAATATATACCAAAACTAACTGTGAATATTGTATACCTTTTCCTTGTTTCAATACATTTTGCTTACGTACATTTTGTGTTGTATTATTATTATTCCATGCTTATCCAAGCTTCAACACACACCTTCCCCTTTTTTTGAACAGGAGTAAAGGTTCATCCCTTTTTTTGTCTAGAGTTGGGTTTCCGGTTGCTTCTGAAGAATTTTCCTCGTGTAACCCTCTAGCTGGAGTGGTTCTTTCGTCTTGTACAGGTAAATATAATTGCAAAAAGAACGACATATATTTTCGTCTACATTGCGCCGTCTGTTCAGGAAGTGGATGTTTATGGTGCTTCACAGCTTCCTATCCTTTATCGCTCATAGTAAGGTATTTTTTCACCATCTCTCCTAATATCTGCTCTGTCAACCATTTACCTAAGCTCGCTGGATACCTTGTTTTATATTTAAAGATTCGTACTTATTTCAAAATCGTTGTTTGTGTCTTTGGCACGTTATCTTGTTAACATGTAGTTGCTATTCATACAATTAATGCTTTGTCCTTTCTTCTTGCCCTCCTTTAATAGGTTTTAGTAAGCTTTGTCTTTTCACGATACCCCTTAGTCCATGCCAACAATTTATATAAGCACGCTTGCTAGGTTATTCGCTGCTTTCATCTGGCCTTCCTGCCTTCGATCTGTCCTGTGAGTATCAGATTTACCAACATCTCTTTCCTCATTATGTTCCTTAAAGATTTCTGCTAAAGCTTCCTGTTATTAAATATAAGTGTAATTTTGTTTCCATTTACACGAAAACTTCGTCAGTTCTCACACGTTCAATCTATGGTATTCTCAGCATCCTACTGCGGAACCATATTTACGTTGCCATAAGTTTCTACCTCATCCTGGATGAGATAGCTGCAATTTCAATGATCCTTCGGATTTCGGTGTCACCTTTTCCATCAACTGTTTAAATTTTTCATGTACATTTAAATTCTGGTATTGATTGTTTTTGGAGGGTCCAATTTGAAATTCGCGTCTTTGGCTGTCTCTCTCGCTGACTAGAATATATACTATATATAATGTAATTGGGAAAACTATTTAAGTACATGCTCTGTTTTATAATAAACAGTATTAATAGCATTTACCGACCTGAAAATTTCTAGGATATTCAAGCTGGTTAATGTTATTAATACTGTTTATTATTAAAATAAAAAATAAAAAAACAGAACATTTACTTAAATATTTGTATCTATAAAAAAAAAGTAAAAAAAATAAAAATGGATTAAAATAATTGTCGGACTTTGTCCATTTCATAATATATGAATGTATGTATCCGAATGTAATGAGAACGAAAATAATATATAAATCCCAACGTTCACAGAATTAATTCAAATGGCGGATCATATATATGGGTCGTATTGGGATGACTGATTTGTGTGTTTAAAAAAAATCAATACTCTACCTCCGCTGTTAAATAAGGTGAGGTTAATAGCAGGAGAGCGATGTTTAATATACACGGCCTCTCTGATAGATATCAGAGATATTTCTGATTGATATAAGATTTTAGTGTGTTGATAGAATGTCTTTATAGCACATTGTTCTTTTGATAAAAGACACGTGAGCCATCTACTCAAGGCGGTAGTTGTATGCCCGATATGGATAATTTAAATACAGCCTTGTACCGGGCAGTTAACTTTATACACACTACTGGGCATCGCTTGTTTAAATTTGAAGTGGCTAGTTTGATGAATGACAACGTGTTTTGCAGTCTTCCATTTCCTGCAATTTATTATAAATTTTACGGTTTTTGGGAATTACGACAAAAATATGGCGTTCAATGATTTTTTTTTTTTTTTTTTTTGTATAGCGAATTCATCCTGCTTACACTTATTGTGCATCTGGTTGCATTAAAATATATTGATGTTTTATTGCGTTGCATTTTTATTATTAATGTTGTGTATTTTTTGTAAGAATAATTTTATTTGTCTATCAATGATGTACTTTGGAAAATTATTGTTAACTAATGTTTGTTTTATGGGCTTTAGTTCGCTCGGAATTATTTTTAGGAAGACGAATTTTGGTGAGGTCCATTTGAGGTGTTTGTTATCACTGCTATTTTATATCTTTCTGGCTATTGGCTATCACAGTTTAGAAGATAAGAGTTCGTACTTGCGGGCTTTTATACGGGAAGTGGTAAATAATTTGAATTTTAGTTCTATATCAACAGCAAAGAATAAAATTTTGTTATTAACCATGCGTTCATATGTAAATTTTAGCGTTAAGTTGTCTTTCAAATGTTGATTTCAGTATATATTTCGTCTATATCTGTGGGATGACGTATTATGATCATTTACATTATTGTAAACTAGTTGCATGGCCCGGCGTTGCCTGTGCTTGATTCAAAAATCGTACGACTCATACAGCAATCACTATCACTTGACTTAAAATATTTTTGCCCTTCCTTGCCTTTAAAGGAGTGCCCTTTTCCGTGCTGATGTTGCTATATGCCTTACTTCTCACACTGCGAATTTTTTCTAAGCTCTATACTAAACATTAAATCTGTTACGAAAAAAGAACTATACAAAATGATCAGCTTTAAAAAAGGACTCGTAACTAGAAAAACCGAATGAAAAAAGAATGTTAACAACAAATACTTTTTCACACCCAATCCAGGTCTGCGGAATCAGAATCAACGTTGAGTTTAAGCAAGCGAATGAGCCAATTTTAGTAAAGCGCATATTTAAATTTTTCCCGCTTGTGACGAATGCAGCTATCGATTTTTTTTGCATGCTAGCATGCTAGTTAACATTCGTGTCAGTCAGCTGTTGGCTCTCACGCTGGCCAATAGAATCTTCCTGCTTATCCGTGGCAGCCAGCTATAGGCGCTCACTCTGGCCAGTAGAAAATGACCGCAAACTACATCAAAACTGCCGTAGAAGCATGAAAAAATCGATCATTTCCACTATCGATGCGAGTTGGGAAATGCAAGGTCGGTCTTGGCCTTTCTGCTAACTTGGAGTATATGCATGTACATTTTGGTGCAAATCCGTCGAAAATTGCGGCAGTGCATTCGTTACAAACACCCCCCCACACACTCATCCTGACTTTTATAGATAGAGATGTTATCCTCATTTACATTGCCATATTTACAATGTTTTGGCCGTTGTATGCTGCGGTCATCTTCAGGTGATTGGAATTTCGAATTGAACAATTTAATTGGTCTAGATTATTATAGTTCCACGTGCCATGCCTCTTCATGAAGTCTCAGCTATTTCCCTTTAACTCAACTCTCCAAGTTTCTTTGTTTACCGCTGCTGTAGCCTGGTATTGAACTCACAACACTTTGTGTCTAGTCACCGGATCTAATCCACACCTTTATCCACTGGGTCATATTCGTTTACGAAATTTTAAATGATTCTGTGTGATTTTGTGAATTTTGTCATGTTATCTAGGATAAATTTTAATTTTACGTTATGATCTTGTCAGTCGAGAACTGGTGAATTCAGTGTACGCCGCGTTCTTCGAACAGACATCCTCAGTTTGAAAAAAAATATAATTCTCATACTCCGTGACTGGTTATCAACTAAGACAAAACAGCCTAGTTTTCCTTAATATTCAATCCCTACAAAAAATGATTAATATTGACAAGCTGAGAGAACCCTCTCTGCCTTCCATCAGTATGGCTGATGCTAACCTCCAGGAATGTGACACGTTGCGCCTGTTGGGGCTAACTTTCTCGGCTGACATGAAGTGGAAACACTATATTGAATCGGTTGCTTGGTCAGCTGCTAAGAAAGTCGTTTCACTGTGTCGTGCTAGGGAATTTTTTATCTCCATAATCTATCTTACATATTTGTACGTTTACCATTCATCCATGCTTAGAATATTACTACAAAATATGGTACGGTGTTCCTGTCATATATTTAAAGCTTCTTGATAAAACCCGATGAAGAATATGCAATATTATCGGTACTCAACTGGCATCTCGGCTTCAGTCACTTTCCCATCGTACTACAGTTGTTTCCCTGTCCCTTCTCTATAAAGGCTTTCATGATAATTGTTCACTATGGTACCTAGACTGTATTAATTTAAGTTCAGTGCAAAATTGGCAACAAGGTCTCATTAATTTACTGTTGAATTGACTGTATATAACTGTAAGTTCTATGCAAACAGTTTTTTCTCGCACTTCTCGCTTGTGGCATTCTCTTCCAGATCCGTGATTTCCAACCATATTTGATCTTCAAAAATGCAACGGTCATCTAGTGTCCTCCTGTTACTGTTTTTATTGTTCTTGCTCCTTAATAATATTTCTGTTTTCTAATTCTCTACCACCCAGTAACCCCCCTTGTGTCTTAGTGTCTTTCTTGTCTTACAAAGTGGTGAATTGAATTAATAAAAACGATATAAACCGATAGAGTTAATGGACACAGGTTTTGAAACCATAGTATCCACAGAATAACGTTCGGCTCGATAGGGGAAAAATCGGAATGTAAATCCATTGATTCCAGATAGATAGATAGATAGATAGATAGATAGATAGATAGATAGATAGATATGAACAGACTGGGATAGATGGATAGAAAAAAGATTGAGATAGATAGATAGATAGATATATAGATAGATAGATAGATATGAAGAGAATGAGATAGATAGATAGATAGATAGATAGATAGATAGATAGGAACAGACTAGGATAGATGGATATAAAAGATTGAGATAGATAGATAGATAGATAGATAGATAGATAGATAGATAGATGAAGAGAATGAGATAGATAGATAGATAGATAGATAGATAGATAGATAGATAGATAGATAGATAGATAGATATGAACAGACTGGGATAGATGGATATAAAAAGATTGAGATAGATAGATAGATAGATAGATAGATAGATAGATAGATAGATAGATATGAAGAGAATGAGATAGATAGATAGATAGATATGAACAGACTAGGATAGATAGAAAAAAGATTGAGATAGATAGATTGATAAATAATTATATAGATATGAAGAGAATGAGATAGATAGATAGATAGATAGATAGATAGATAGATAGATAGATAGATAGACAGACAGACAGACAGATAGATATGAACAGACTAGGATAGATAGAAAAAAGATTGAGATAGATAGATAGATGGATAGATAGATAGATAGATAGATACTAATAATAAACATTCGTTTTGTTCCTAACCGTGTTGTACAACTCTGGGTTTCATGGAAGATGCAATCGTCAGACGTGAATTGAAAAATAGGATAGATAGATTTAAACAGATAGATAGATAGATAGATAGATTTCATTCGTCACCGTTTTGTACAACTCTGATTTTTATGCACGAGGCAATCATCAGGCGCGATTCGGAGACAGATAGATACATAGATAGATAGATGGATTTAATATGAAATGTAGATATTAAATAAACATATTAATTAGTTGTAGTTTTGATAGGTCCTCCACAATGATCTGATTAATTATTGCGACAATCAAATGCCAAATTTATTTGCATGACGAAATAAAGCCACTGCTGCCCTTTTCTGATCTCCCAAACTTCTTCACCGGAATCTCATCTTGTAAAGTTTGTTATTTACCACCCGGGTCAAAGCTATTTGCATTGACAATTCATCTTTGAGTCAAGCAATATTGAACTGAGAAGAAAGCTGATATGAGAGCCGACGTCGATATGCTGGTAGATTGCTGACAAAGATCATTTCACTAAGACCAAATACTTATGGCGTGTCAAAAGGTGTGAAACAATGTCTCCCTCGTCTATTCTTCTGTTCCAAACGCCCAGGTCCAGCGAGACATATGTGCATGCATTTATGGCATTGATTATAACGTACATAGGAATAAATGTCTTCGTTTAGTGATCTTGGACTTGTTTTCATTGACCAACGAAGTTTTGGTTTAATTTACATCTCATAAACTTTGACCCTTCGTACCTAATTGGACTAAAATATTTGAAAGTCTTTAACCCGCCTTATATTTGAGATCCCATGTTGACCAGATCTCGCCTGTCTCGATTTAATTTGAGCCGTGAGAGATTCGCTTCTGGACAAGCCTGTGGGCTTCGCCGTCGCGCAGTTTTCCACCAAAATGAAATTTACGCTAGTGACCTCGTTAAACACAAATATCAAAATTCAAAACCATCTCCTCCTCTACTAACCAGAGAAGGGATAAACGGAATTGGAAGAGAGAAAGATGATGTCGATACTTGGATGCGAACGGGGTGAGCACAACTATATTTTACAGGCAATATGCTTTTAACTAACCATGTTAAAAATGCTTAGAATATGTCATATTGTTGGTTAGTTGAATTAAAACCATTCTTTTTATTAACCCGACCTTCTTGACGATTCTTACCCCAGCATTTTATGTTTGGAGTGGAGAAAGAGTGTTTTACAGATTAGAGGAATAGAAAAAGAAGTTGCCGAGCTAGTAACCCCACCCCACTGTATTGTGTCATATTTTTTAAATACTATATACAAATACCTGATAAAATAAAGTTCAGAACATTCGCCAATGTGTGAAAATCCTCGTCGGAGGAAATATAAATATATATATATATTTTTTTTGTTGCAGGTATTAATATTTTTATAAATCAATATAGTGATATATTAATTGATTATTATTAATAAATTAAGAATAATTAATTAATATTAATTAATTAATGATAATTAATTACTACTAATATCAATGTACTAATATTAATGTAATAATATATCAATTAATATATTAATTAAATTAATATATTTATTAATTTTAAATTTTTATAGAGGTTTATTTTTTATAGAGGTTTATTGTTGAAACTTGACTAATGCATGGAATAATAATACAGCACAAAAGTACTTAGAACAAAATGTTTTGAAACAAGAAAGTGTACACAATATTTACATATAGTCTCTTGTATATTCTTGGGAAGACCGTTCCTGGAGAATGTGTTGACTTCGTCGCAGTCGGGCAGAATCTCTGGATTGAATCTCTTGATTCCTTCCTCGTCTTTCCGGTACCAACCATATTTATGTGGTCGGTACTCCACTATGCAAATTAGGTAGATCCTACCACAACAGTTATGAAATTAAATTGTTTTAAGGGCGTACATGGTAGAAATAAGGAGTGCATTTCATGAGGATAATAGTCGAATCTCGACTTGAAGAGATACAGATTGTAGCGGTCGTGAAAGCATCGTGACGATATTATTTACAATGATGTACCGCTTCTTGTGAAAAACGTGTCTGAATTGAACTTCCTCCTTACTAATGGAATATGAAGAGACTGATGATAGGTTGATTCAGTCTTAGTTGAATATCTGAACTGGTGGAAACAAAGGAATTTATGTCTTTTATTATTTCTATGTTCCATGTTGATTTCACAAGAAGGAATGACTGCAAAACTTATTCCCCCTCCCCTTTTATAGGGAACAAGTCCATAAATGCATGCTGGGATGTTTTTCTTAGCCAGTAAAATGGAACAACTTTTGTTTTGACTTGACTCAGTCCAGATCTGCCGTTTTAGGCATTTCGGACTGACTTGTCGAACTCTCTGACTTCGAGCAGAGTGGAACCCAAACGAGGCTATGACGAAGATCAGAATCACGTCTGGGGAGGTAGACAATCCCGATCTCGTATATGTGGGGTCTACGGGAATTTCTGCCGAAGACTACGGACTCGTAATCGCCCCACATAAAAAAAACGGACCACATCCTGCCTTGTGGGGAGGCTAAGGTAAATAAACTAAGTCCAAATATGGCATATTTAGCAGACCACTGCATTCGCTTGTCTGACCGTGCCTTTGTGCGAAAAAACAAACTCATAGTGTGTGAGGTTTTTGCTATCTTACCTCTTGATTTCCTTTTCATATATTTTTTGCTTGCTTGCTTGATACTTTTATTTTTTACCTTTTATTCTTTTTATTCCACACTTTGTTAATTCTGTTCGTGGGTGAATTGTATTATTTATGTTGCACTTTGACAATAACATCATATTTAATAACAAAAGTGATGGATACATGACCTTATGAAATCTGCTAGACGATATATATCTAAATTATATATTTAATATTTTTTTTAAAGTTCAATTCAAAAATAGCAATGAAATTTAAATTTTCAATAACCCCTCTTTCTTTGTACATAATTGTAGTTGTATCAACGTAAAAAATAAGTTATGCCCATTGAACGGATGTAACATCGTGGAGGCACCTTGCCTTGATGTGCCTTAAAATTAACCCAAAGTGGAACTCGTACATACGAGCCATCGTGAATGAGGCAGGTAAAATGTTCGGCTCCTTGTACAGTGCAAGTAAGTACCTGACTCCTAATGCTATCGTCTACCATTATAAGAGATACATCAAGCCAAAAATGCAGTACTGTTTTAATATTTAGGCTGGAGCTGTCTAGTCCTATCTTTCCAGTCTCCATAGAGTGTAAAAGCGTCTGAAAGTCTTTATGTGTGACGAATTATATTCCCCCCAACATAGGCGGGATGTAGCTTCCCTCTGGCTGCTCTATTGGTACTTCCATGGAAAGAGCTTGGATTAGCTGCATTCCTTGGCCCGACCAGTCCAAATCTTCACTGATAGGACCCACCATGCCATATACATTGTATTAAACCACCCTCATTCTTTTCATATTCCATGGGTGAGAAGTAAGTTTCGCTCGAACCGCTATTTTCCGTGAACCACTGCTTTGCGGAATCGACTCCCAAGTGGATGTTTCCCCGATCACTACAATCTTAATATTCTTATGGCTGGAGTTAACCGTTATCTATCCGTATAAACTTCCCCCTAAAATAATCCGCAACCTTAAGAGGTCTTGTTCAATATAATATGAACAAAAAATCTTCTCAAATATGAGTATCGACCAAAAATATACCGGATTAATAAATAAAAATCCATCACTTCTTTAAAAATTGCTTTGTATACGGACTGTATCAAAATACTTTTAGAAACTTTGGGAGCGGGTTACTCTCACCAAAGCAAGGTAAAATATCTAAAAGACCATTTTTGTACCTCAACGTAGCAACTCATTATAAATTTTCAAAATATGCTCCGCTTCTTTCTATAAATGTACCCGTTGGATCATTAACTAGCGGACCCTTTCAAATACTCCCACACGGTATTGAATATTTTCGCAGGCCCCCAGAAAATAAAGCGTCCATTAATATCTGTTGTATAAGCGAATTGTTGTAAGTGGCCCCACAGATAAATATCCAAATGAGTGAGCTCGCGGCAAAGTTCAAGCCATATGGAACGTGTCCTCTTCTACCTATCCATCTTTCCAGGAAGATGTCAGCCAGTGCACCGCGAACAATGTGACTAAAATATGAAACATGCATGAACAACGTAATTAGTAATTTAGACACAATGATAAATAGACAAAACGCAAGAAATCTAAAAACTAACATGCAGCAAAATATAGTTATCACTAGTAATTTATGCAACTGTAGAAATAAGAATAGATGTCCATTAGATGGAGCTTGTAAATCAGAAGCTATAATCTATAAAGCAGAAGAAACAGATATTAATGGCCAAAATAAAACGTACATAGGATGTAATAAAAGTTCTTTCAAATATAGATCGTACAAGCATAGGTCGTCATTTATGCTAGTAAAGCTTAGGTACTCTACCAAAGTAGCTATGTGTGGAATTTAAAAGAAAAACGTTTTTAAAAGGGCAAAGCCTTATAACAGCCAAAATAATATTTGCTATCTTTGCCAACAGGTAAAATTATCAATTATGACGTCTACGGATTTCTTTTGAACCAGAAATTGGAAATCTTGAGTCTTTGCTTACATATTAGGAAATTCCTCTTAAATGAGGCTGCATAAAAAAGTGTACATTTCAGTTCCCACCCACATATATGCATTTATAATGTCCGTGCTACTCTTCTCTTCCTCCTACTTTTTCTTCTGCATCCTTCTTTCCCTCCTCCTCCTCCATTTCTCATCTACCCAACATTGTGCGTTTGTTTACTTACTAAAATTCATTTTCAAATAATAATATGGCGTTTATTAGTTTAAAAAAAAATAAAGCGTAAAGTTGTCATTTGATAAAAATCGACCGAAGGTACCGTAAGGTTGAAACCAATGTAACGGATTTAACTGATCTCTTGATTTTTAAAGTTAAAAGCTCTACATTAACATTTTATGTATCATATATATAAATACACACACACACACACACACACACACATATATATATATATATATATATATATATATATATATATATATATATATATTAATTGATTTAAATATTTTTTTCGCTACACAGTTCTAACCATGTTAAAAAAACGAATTTTGGAGTA